AATCACCAGAAATACTTAATATATAATTCAATCTGACAGTACCCTTAATGAATGGCAAGGGATACTTGTAGAATTTATAAAAATGATAAATGTACACATGTCATATGGAAATTATTTAACCTTTAATGTAGTACAGGACAGTGTCTGATCCAGAGCTAGGATATGCTATTGTATTTGTTGAATAAATGGCAAAATAGAAATAGTGTAACTAAGTCATATGTGGACATGTTTTTTGTAAAAAAAAAAAAGGCAATTCTTAGATAGTTGTGAAACATATATCCTTTATATCTAACTTATTTCTTTGTCAATGTATACATTTACATACACACATGCACACACAATTATATATATATTATACACACACATGCACACACAATTTTATATATATATGTGTATATATATTTGGATTTTAGGTTTATAGTGATTGTGATATATATGTTGTACTTAGTCTATATGTGTGTTTGTATATATTTATATGTGTGTGTATTATACATATATATGCATATTGCACTCAGTATAAACCTGAAATCCTTTTTTTAACTTATTACCGTTTGACTATCAAGTAATTACTTTTCTTGCTGTTATTGTTTCCAATCAGATAAGACAGTATGATTAGGAAGATAGAGTTGATCCATTATAGCACTATACACCATTGCTATTAGCCAACTTGCTGCCATTCTCATAAAAATTATGCAATTTAAACTGGAAGATACCAGTACCTGCTGCTATTAGAAACAAGGACCCTTTTCTACTTCATAATATGCTCAATTACCTTTAGATTGATCCATGAATAAATTATAATCCAAATAGACTGCTTTACCTTAAAGCTTTGCTGGCTTAAGATATCATTGTTGATTCATTATGTTGTCACTTTTCTATCGGCAATGTAATGCTTTTTATATCTGGATAGAGACAGTTTTAGTGTGAGATACTGTTATCTTTAAATGAGTAGGATTTAGCTTTTCTGGTGAGAACAAATTCATCAATGATGAATCCCTGGAGAAAGTATTGAAACAAAAATCATACCATTTCTGAGCTTTGTTCAGTTCATCAGTTACAAAGCAGCTTTTGATAGTCCTAAGGAACTTTTTTCTTTGTTTAAGAAATATAGCATGACGCTCAAAACCTCTTGCTTTGAGTTACTGCAGGCTACAACTATTTCTAAGAAAATAATGAATGAAGAGGAAAAGCTCCTGCTGCTGGCTCTGTCAGGCTCTGCTGCTTCTCCTCCTGCAATAGGAAATCAATTAACTATATGTTCAGGCAGAGATTTGAACTAAATGCTTTATTAATCATCACTGATTGCACACATACACACTGGCCAACTATGCATTTGTCTTCATTCTTTCTCCATTTTATTTTGCTTTTTGTTTGTTTGTTTCACTGTTTTTTTGGCAAGATCAGAACACAAACGTGTGCCCAAATGTAGTGTGTATAAAGGTGGTTGTCTGGTACAGGAGAGAATTGATCTTCTGTATTTTTGGAAAACTTAACTTTTAAATATTCAGTACTCAGATATGGTAGAGGCATCTTAATACGTAACAAAGTAATTCTTTAAGAGATTTTATTTATTTTAGAGAGAGATAGAGACAGAGCATGAGCAGGGGGAGGAGCAGAGGGAGAGGGAGAGAGAATCTCAAGCAAACTCTATGCTGAATGCGGAGCCAGATTCATGGGGCTCGATCTCCTGACCCTGACATCATGACCTGAGCCGAAATCAAGACTTGGTCGCTTAACCAACTGAGCCCCCCAGGCTCCTCTGTAAAAAAGTAATTTTTAAAAAAGCACTAAACTTTCTTATACTAATTTGCAGAAAGCAAAATCTATGGCAGCCTTAATGTTTTGAAAGTTGGCCCTACAGCTGGCCTCTGGGACCTCCATATAGCAGTGAGAAACTACACACTAATGGACCTATTTGATTTGGGGATGAATGGTGGAAGGTTGAGGGAATGGTTACTGGTATCGTGTGTGGGTGTGCTTTCAATTTAAAGGAAAAGTTGGCAACAGTTTTCCTTCTTTTCCATGGATTCTTCTAACTAACACACAAAGAATATCCTATAGGAATCTTTATGTTAAATTGAGAACTTCTCCTTAGGACTAATTAGAAAAGATTAGCACATTGTAATCATAACCCTGTTAGCCATAGAAAGGCAATATAATTTAAATATGGCAAATGTGGTCAACCACTGCAAAAAAAAAAAAAAAAAAACTACAGAAAATATCAGGCTGGTAGATGTTTACTCAGGCTGTGTTCTGTTCACCACCAAAGGATTTTCAAATATTATTATTATTGTTATTATTATTATTATTATTACCATCACTGGAATAATTTGAAAGTATCATAATTTAAACTTAACTACCTTATTTCTCTCCCTTTGGATAAAGAATATTCTAAATGGGGAAAAAAATCTCCTCTGGTTTATGTTTAAAAGAAGATAGATCAAAAAGTTCCAGGAATGATTTCTTTTGAATAACATTTATAGAACTCTTAGATGGAATTAGAGGGTGTTGAGTAGGTAAGACTCAAGGAATTGGGATAATGGTTCAGAGTTTATTGAGCTTGCCACCATGAAGGATCTGCTAGAACCAGAGGTCACTTGTTTTAACATTTAACCATTTTTTTTAAAGATTTTATTTATTTATTTGAGAGAGAGAGAATGAGAGATAGAGAGCATGAGAGGGAAGAGGGTCAGAGGGAGAAGCAGACTCCCTGCTGAGCAGGGAGCCCGACGCGGGACTCGATCCCGGGACTCCAGGATCATGACCTGAGCCGAAGGCAGTCGCTCAACCAACTGAGCCACCCAGGCGCCCAACATTTAACCATTTTTGATAATCTTCAAGAATTTAAGATTAGGATTTATGTGCCCTTGATAGAGAAGCAAAGTGTGGAGAGAGTGATACTCTGACAAGAATTATGTCATGTGGACATGAGTTTACCACATTATGAGGTGTTATCAGAACCCCAGGAGCATTTCCTTTGCATTACATATAATCCCTAACACCTCATCTGCCCCAGGAAAAAGTCATTTCATAAGAGGACATTTCAAATAAGCATTATCTTTTCTATGTTAAAAGGGCTTACCTATCTGATAAATGTTGAGGATTTGTTTTATACTCATTGATTTGATGCTTTCTAACAAGACAGCATCACGTATTTTATGGTAAAATTGATACAATATATTCTGTCCCTTCATCATATTATTTCATATTACTGAAATCATTATGTATTGTAATTTAGGAAAGCATTGAGGTATAGGGATGAAGTACATAGTTCTAGTTTAATTGTATATAAATAATTTGGCTTCTGTTTGCTCAACTTGTTGACATAATTATAGTAAATTGAGAATGGAAGTAACAATCTTAGATATTTCCACATAAATATGTCCTGCTAATATAAACTTTCAATGTCAGTTTGGCTGAATTGGGAGCATGAGTGAAGTTTCGTTTACCTGCCCTACTAATATCTCTAAAGAACTAGGGAACTCATTTTCCTGGGGCATTATGCAGCCTGGCAGGTGGAGGCCAGTGTTTTGAAACAAGTACGATTTTTCACCAAAGTATTTGCTAGGTCAGAGATCAGGATGACCTTGGAGTGTTGTAGTTTCCCAAGCCTCTATCAGCTAGATAAATGGGCTTTATTTTGTAGGAGAGAGAGAGACAGAGAGAGAGACAGAGGGAGAAAGAGAGAGTGAGAGAGAGGAGAAAGGGTCTTTTTTGCAGTCTTAGAAAAGAGACCTAGCAATTCCAGGTTATAGGCGGACACGGAACATTTGGAATTCAGTTGTGTCTATCACTGGCGTTATGTGTCAGTAAAAGTGAAGATCAAAGGTTCTAGAAGAGGAGAAAGACAAAAGTGAAGAGGAAATAATTGTGGGATAATGAATAGTATGAGGGCATATTCGTGTTAACTTGAAACCACTTAGAATTTTTCCATGACACTCAGGTATCTTTCTAAATGAACTTTGTAAAGTACAGTTGAATAACCTTGAGATTTAAAGCTCCATGATGTGATTTTGAATACTGATGGAGTTTGTTTAAGCACTGTGATATTTCCTCTGCTTTTCATTTCCATTTTTGCCTCCTTCGTGCAAAATAAAATGTATTTTCTGTACAGAGAAATCAATATTTTTACCATTTTGTTTTTCAGCTATTCCAGTAAATTGCAATCAACATTAGTTACAGTCTTTAAAGAGATGTAGTAAGAATTTGAACACAATAAAATAGAGATACAGATTAGAACTTTGGCAAAGTACCTTTGCTATTGACAAAAGCATTTGTCAGGGACTTTGGCTGTGTCTATATTGTGCTAAAAACCTGATGAAGAGGAAAAAAAAAGCATCAATAGGTTTTACCTTCTGTCTATACAAACCAAACAAATGGTCTAACTAATAGCTATTGTTTTAAGTGAATGGATTTGGTTTACCATTGTGAACTTTAGTCCATTTAGAAATGTATTTAATTAACATTTGTATATATAATACATATATACTTGGTAAAGGTATTGCACTCTTGAGTTCTTTTTCATAATTAGTGGAATCTGATACCTAGAAGACTAGTGATTCTTGAATAAATGAAAAAGACCTCGTTACAGTATATAAGAAACAATTTCAAAACACACATTTGTTTATTGATAATACTTAGGTATTAATATCCCCACATTTTTCTCTTCTGTGAGCTACCACGCTTTCTTATTTGTGCATTTTCCTTTTAGAAACTGCCAAGTTTTGGACCTTATCTTGAGCAGCGCAAGGAGATCATAGCAGAGAACAAGATTAGACAGAAAGAACAAAATGCAGCTTTGCCACCACTTGAGAGAAAGCATTTTATTCCCAAAAAGCCTATACCTACCATCAAGGTAAAAATTAAGTTGTATATATACTGTTTTACTGTGTAAATATACAATATAGCTCAACATAGTTTACGTGTTTATTTACTGTTTAAGTATCTCATTTATTTTGTTTAAAAATACAATGAAAGTTTAAAAAAACCTGTTTGTGGTGATAGGATAGCCTCTTTTATTTGCATATTTTATACTTTTTAGAATACTGTCAAGTATGTGCTTCATGGAAATTTCTGATGTATTAAATGGGCCAGGAAATATTACAGTGAATTCTTTGTCTTCTCATATTCATTTTAAAATTATCTTCATCTACAATTAAATCCAGGAGATATATTAGTCATACAATACAACTAAATGATTAATATGCAACATAGTATCAATTTGAACAAACTTTGTCTGGTTCAGTCTCTGGAGAGCCTGTACGAATTGGTGAGTCAAGAGACTATTTTCTGGGTAATAGCAAAAGAATTACCATGAAGATGGAATGGTGGGTGTGTTATATTTCTTGATTTTTTTTCTTGAATTTTTTATTTTGAGAGAGAGGCAGATTTACATTCAGTTGTAAGAAATAATACAGAAAGTTCTTGTGTACCGTTTACTCGGTTTCTCCAATGTAAAATGTTGCAGATATCACAACCAGGATAATGACACATATACAATCTAGTGATATTATTCAGATTTTCATTGTCCATATGTGTGCATACATGTATGTTTACTTCTGTGCAATCCCACCACACATGTAGGTTCCTCTTTCTACTACCACAGTCGAGATACAAGACTTCTATCACTACAAAGATCCCTCTGGTTGCCCTGTTGTAACTGCACCTACCTCCTTCCTGCCCACCTTCCCCAAGATGGAATTGTCTTAATGAGAGAAAAGGGAGGTGTTATAGGAGTTATAGGACTCCATTCTCTCTGAAATCACCATCACTGAATGTGGTTTCAGTTACTGGAACTTATTCTTCCTTATTTAATGACAATCTACTCCTGCATTTCCATTTTCTGTTTGAAGTATCAGCTAAAAAGCTTACTCTTAGGACCTCTCAGGGGAACTTCCCAGAAATTCATCTTTAGCTGTCAACTGGGAATTAGAACCCTTAAAAATTCCCTCTACCTATGAGAGAAAAAAAGATGTGTCCTATGTCAAAAACAGTGGGGTTTACACTGGCTGTTGCAAAATTTAAGTGATTCAGAGTTCTGAAAGGAAATTTAGAAGTGGCTGAACACAAATTCTATCAGTACTTCGATGCCATAATTCCAAATAAAGTGAACACTTGGGACTTCTAACAGCATAATAGCCCCAAATACTCTCTTGAGCTATTTCCTTTACATTATTTGTGGGCTACTAAAGGAATGTACTGGACACTGATGATAAAGAGAAGACCAGATCCTTCAGCTCTTCACAAGCCTCCACCCTCCCTATGTTTGGCTATGATTATTATATGATTTAAGTTAGTATTGTCACTGTGTCTCTTCTAACTTGAATTAAATGTAAGATCTCATCTTTTCCTTACATATAAAAAATCAAAAGAAAGATATTATTTGTATTTGAAAGAAAAGAAGTGCAAGGTGATTATAAAAGCATTGACCTTTTTAGTCTTCTGTTCCTTCAGGGAATATATTGATAACCTAGAAGCAAGATAAAAACAGAACAAAGAAAAAACCTACTAGAGTTGAATTCAAGCCGGTCGATCACTAACTCAAATAAAATATCAAACTCAGCAGAATTAAATAAACCTAAGAAATATGAAGTCAGGAAAGTAAACATTTTTTAAAGTATCAAGGAGGGATAAGTCTTATTAAAGATAGTGCAAGTTAGGGATGCCTGAGCGGCTCAGTCAGTTACACACCCAACTTTTGATTTTGGCTCAGATTGTGATCTCATATTTGTGGGATCGAGCCCTGCATCGGGCTCTGTGTTCAGCAGGGAGTCTGCTTGTCCTTCTCCCTCTCTCTCAAATAAATAAATAAATAAATAAATAAATAAATAAATAAATAAATAAAT